GATCGAATTCGCTCCCATGTACATGCAATATGTCGTATATTTACGTAAGTTAAACACTTGACGTCCAAGAGCATACGCTGATAGCCTCGCCGTCGCCTGAAGACGTCGGAAAAAAACAATGTCGAAAAAAACCCATAGAATTACCCATGGACTGCCGTATTTCCTAATTGGGGGCGGCCGCACCCTTCTTGCCACCGTTCCCCTCGTAGTTTTTCGCGCGGTCGAGCTTCTCTTGGGCGGTGGCCTTCAGCGTGGCCAGCTCGAAAGACGTCTGCAAAGCCTCCCAGTGCTCCCACCCCCCCGCACACCAAGAGAGTTTGAGAGTGTAGTTCGCCACCTCGGCCTGGACCACTGGCGCCCCTGCCACCGTGAGCGCATGGATCGCCGTATCCACCTCCACCTCTTTCCTCCCATACCCCTCTCCGCCAACATCGTCTTCATCGCAAGAACGGCCGACTCGGCCGTCTGGGACCCGAGGGGGGGAGGTCGGCTTTCGCCCACGCCCTGCCCGAGGCACCCGTCGCAGTTTGACAGATCATCGCGATAGTGCTGTCCCGGTGGGCTGGAGAAGAACACTTTCCGAAGGCGATGTTGCTCTACACGTTCCCCTTGCAGAAAACTTCGAGGGGCTCTGGGACGTTGCAACTCTGGCACTGTTTGGTCAGCCACGCCTTCGCTTCCTCAAGCTGCTGGGTGGCGCCGGGGATGTTGCCGATAACGACCGTGAGGTTACCGCTGCAGCTGCGGTTGTGCATGGCGGTCTTGCCCGTCATCATGTTTTGCATGTCCTCCTTCAGCCTCGTAGCATATGCTTCGAGTGTGTTACCCTTTGCTTCGATGCTGGTGAGGCGCAGCCCCATGTTGCTGAGCGCCGTCTGCACCTTGAACATGAGTGAGACGAGGTCTGTGAACAGTTATCCACGGAGAGCCTGAAGGGGGTAATATCCTCCTTCAGCATCTTCCGAATCGCCTTCAATGTCACCTTCTCCTCTGTCTCTTCAACTTCCTTCCCCTCATTGTAAATTTCGGTAATATCGTCCTTAGTCTTCTTCGAAGGTGGGGACTGGTGAAGCGTGTGCATCGAGACTACAAAATGATTAAAATACTCGGCCGAATACGTTTACTTGAGCCGAGTACTTGAGCCGGAAAAACTTGAGCCAAAATGGCTACAGTGGAATACAATTAGTTTTCAAAATGTGGTTCTCGCCGTAGCGTCACACGAATTGCCCCAAAATCTTGCAACAGCTTGAAGGATGTAAGAAGGTTACGTTTCGAAATGTGATTCTCGCCTTAGTGCTGCGCACGGTCGTCTTTGAAATGTGCAACAGTTTGGAGGATGGAAGACGGCCTTAGCCGCGCACATTCGTCCCAAAAGTTTGTAGCAACTTGAAGGATCGAACACAAGAGGTTTTAAAAACGTTGGTCTTGCAATTGCGTGGCGCACATTCGCGCCAAAATCTTGCAACAGCTTGAAGGATGAAGGCGGTTCCTTTTGACAATGTGGCTCTCGTCTTTGTACCGCACACATTCGTCTCAAAAGTTTGATGCAGCTGCGAGCGTGGAAGGCAGCTCGTTTGCAAAATATGGCTATCGCTGTAGCGCCGCGCACGTCCGTCCCAAAATGCTGAAATGAATTCAAAGATCGAGAGCAGGTCGTGCGCCGAGCAGAGTCGTTTTTCCCCGCAACAAGTCGAAGGATGGAGGACTGCTCTTTTTCAAACTTGGGTGTTCTCGCAAGAGACAATCTTAGTTCAAATGCCCGAAGCTAGACCACATGTGACACTGCACTGAAACAGGGCGGCTCTTTTTGACAATTGAGCCATCGCTGGAGACTTCCTCTGACTTAGTGAACACAAGCGTAAAATTGCACAACATTTACACGGACCGGGGGCGGACCCTCTTCGAAAGGGGGGTCTCGCGATCTCGCTGGACACCTCGCTCAACTGTATGATCATAGTTTCGCGCCAGCAGGATGCAAGATGTTCCTTTTCGAAGCGGGGCACTGTCCAAAATGGCAGGCCAAACTGTTCTAGCCTGTCCAGGGGAGCGCTTCTTGCAGCGATAAGGAAACCGTATATGGGCGCACAAGGAGAGCAATTGGGACGGGAGAGAGTATTGCAGCATCGCTTGTGCATCTTGGGCTTACTCTGGTCCTCCTCCTCCTCCTCCTCCTCCTGCTCCTCCTCCATCCCTCTCCATGATAGATAACTCCTCCCAGTCGCACCCCGCAGACGTGTCGGTGTGGCGGGCCGGGCGTTTCGCGCGAGATCTCCATACCACTTACGGTCCTGAGGCTTGAGATTCGCAACATATACTAACCTGGATGGAGGGGGACGTTTCCAAAATGGAGCCCTCGCCCCAACACCGCACCAATTCGACTTCAAAGCTTTCAACAATTAGAAGGATGGAGGGAGGGGATTTTCAAAATAGAGCTCTCGCCAGAGCTCCACGCACAGTTGCGTCGCCAGTTGGGGGTCGCCCGGCGTCCCCTCGACCGCCACCTGGCGTGTCGGGTTGCTAGTCTGTTTTGTGCTTGGGCCGCCTCCCTGTTCATGTAAAAGGTCTTCCTCTACACTGCTTCTCCGCGTGGTGTCCCGATTCTCTATCAGCTTTCTGCCGGAATACATCTCCCACTACGCGCCCCAGTTTTGACGTCGCGACCGGTCTAGCATCTGGCCACTCCAAGAATTTCCTCTACAAGCTTGGCTCCTGATCGTAAACCACATTTTTGCCTGGGCCTTTCCCGTTTTCTCAGAGAACCCGGTCCTGCAGACATCTGGCTTCTACGGTCGTCCTCTTCAAGTCTCGGTTCCTTCTCATGAGCCGCAATTTAGATGCACCATCCCTGGGTCCCCCCCCCTGGACTTCCTGGCGTTCCTCGGCACCTTCAACGTCTTCCACATCAAGCTGGTGACCCTGCTGCTTGGACGCAGCCGCATGCTCTCCCTCGGCATCCCCGCGACGGCCCACACGGTCTGAGCGGCCTACTCCATTCTCTCCTCACGCTCTCTTCATGGCCTCCGGTGCACCCCAGCGCTTTCTTGAACCAACGCCTGACCATCTTGCACCACCTGGTGCCCGCAGACTTGAAAGAAACTAGCGCCACGCACAGTCGTCTTTACAGCTTGCAGCGAATACAAAGATTGAGGGGGGTTCAACTCAGGCTCTCGCCTCAGCCCCGCGCAGACTCGTCTCGCAAACTTGCAACAGCTTCAAGGATGGAGAGGGCCGTTTTCAAAATGGAGCTCTCGCCTTGTCGTGCTAGAAGCTTGCGACGGCTACACGGATACAAGGCGGTGACGTTTGAGAACGGGGCTCTCGTGCTAGCGCCGCGCACATTCGTCCTGGAGGCCTGCAACAACTACACGAGGACGACGAGCGGTTCCTTTCCAAAATGGATCTCTCGGTTGAGGCTTCTGAAGAGAAAAAAAAAAACTCTACATCTGTACCAGTTGCACGGACGGAAGGGCGGCTGCTCTGCGAATTGGGGGGCCTGACGCTCGAGATGTCCTGGAAGCTCGTGACCAGAAGTGTGCACTCGTGCGACAGTAGCGCGGGTGTGGGCGGCCCTGTTTCAAAACCACGATCTCGCTGGACTCCCTTTGAGATGCATGATCCTGCCTTTTCGCTTTTCTGGAGCGCCTGTCTTTCAAGAGGGCGCTGCTTGCTGTGAACAGGAAGGCTGGTAAGGACTTATGATCATGGCAGCATCACTGATGCGTCTTGAACTTGCTCTGGCCCTCGTCCTCCTCCTCATCCTTCCCCTACTCCTCCTCCTCCTTGCTGCTGCTGGTCCTCCTCCTCCACATGCCTACATCATCCCCTCCATCCTCCTCCTCCTCCTCCTCCTCCTCCTCCTCCTCCTCCTCCTGCTCCTCCTTCTCCTGCTCCTCCTGCTCCTCCTCCCCTCCTCCTCCTCCTCCTCCTCCTCCTCCTCCTCCTCCTCCTCTCCTCCTCTCCTCCTCCGTCTCATCCTCATCCTCGTCCTCGTCCTCTTCCTCGTCCTCGTCCTGCTCCGTTCCTTGTCCTTATAGATAACTCCTCCCTGTCGCACCCCGAGGCCGGTCGAAAGGGCGGGCTGGGCATTTCGCCTGAGACTTCCTAACCATTTCTAATCCTGAAGCTTCATAGTTGGCTGCAGCTTCACAGATGGAGGGCGGGTCGCTTCCAAAATGTAGCTATCGCCTTAGCGCCGCGCACATTCGCTTCAAAAACTGCGAGAGCGTCACGGATTAAGGGCGGGCGGTTTCCAAAATGTGGTTCTCGCCTTAGCGCCGCGCTCATTCGTTTTGAAGATTCCCAGAGAAAAAAACAAAAAAACAAAACAAAAAACTAATGGCGGTTCCTTTTCAAACTGTTGCTCTCGCCTTCGCGCAGCGCACAGTCGTCATAAAGTCCCAACAGCATTTCAAATGATTACAAGAGTTTCACTGGTTCTCATGGAGGAATGGCGTTTTGAACCGACTCAGAACTGCCAGGACGCAACAGTCAGGTTTATTCGCGGTAATGAAGTCCCAGGAATGGCGTTCGGGCACGATTCAGGATCACCAAGACGTGACAGTCACATTAAATCGTGGCGTTGAAGTCCTGAAAATTATGCTTTGGTACGCTTGAGGATTTTCACACGTTTATCCCCCAACGGGGCAATGGCCTCAGTGGAAATGAACCCTTGTAGGGGCCTAAGAAGAGGCAGCTTGAAGGGAGGGTGTATTCCAACATCGTTGATGATTCTTGGGTTTACACTGGTCCTCCTCCTCCGCCTCCTCCTTTTTTGCCTCCACCTGACCCCTCCATCCTCCTCCTCCTCCTCCTACTACTCCTTGAGTTTCTGCTATACACCGACCCCTTTGTCCCCCTCGCCCGAGCTGCCCCTCATCATCCACACGACCCCTCCCTCTTGCCTCCTCCCTCATCCCCCCTCCCTCCCTTTTCTCTTCTCCCTACCCCACCTGACTGGCTCGCCCCTCCCCACTCCCCATCTGCCCCCCCGCACCAGCAGCCTGCTGCTCGGCCCGCAGGTTCTTCACAGTCACGCCCACCACGAGGTCGTCCGCGCCGGGCTCCAGCTGCTCCTCCAGGGGGAAGGAGGGGCGCCAGCTGCCCTGGTCGGGCCAGGACGATGAGGCCAAAAGGTGACGGCGTGACACGCAGGAGGACACACTAGTCCTGTGCGCACCCGCTAGAGGCACACGTCCGAACCGAGCATCTGGCCAAGCATCCCAGACTATCTCCTTACCCAGGCAGGCGGTATGGCCGGAAAGCGCCGGCCACCCAGCATGCACTGCAAGATCTCTGAGCGCGCGCGCGTCGCGTCGCGTCTGGGGGCCGACGCACACATAGTATAAGTCCCACCAGCCCTTTGGGCAACAGGTGGTCGAAGGAGGGTCTCGTTCCTCTTCCACAACCCCTCTTCCCTTCGGGGAGGGGAAACCTCCCCCTCCCCTCCCTGAGGTTCGTTGGAGGGACCGCGACGAGTTAGAGCGTCCTTTTTCGGCCCTGGGAGGGCCATTCTTTGCCACCCCTCACGAAGATCGTCGCCCTTGAGGGGGGCACGGAGATAAAGGAACCCCCTCTTTTGATCGATAGCCTCCAAGATGGCCCCAAGAGGGCCTCCAGGGTTCCCAAGAGAGCCCCAAGAGGGCCCGAAGAGCGCCACAAGAAGCAACAAGAGGCCCCCAAGAGGCACCCGAGAGGCCCTCAAGAGGCCCCCGAGCGGCCTCAGCGAGCCCAAGATGACCTCCAAGATGGCTCAGATAGCCCCAGCTGGCTGAAGATGGCTCCCAAGATGCTCCCAACGGCCCCAAGACCGCTCCAAGACGGCTCGAGATGGCCACGGAGCCTCCCAAGCGTCCCTCGCTGTTTGACAATGCGTGCCTCTCCCTCTCTCCCCACGTCAGCTCTCATGGGCATCTTTCTGGATGGGCTGGTGGGAATACGTTTTATCGCGACCGCGCCGAGAGCAATCGGGCGGCGTCCAGAAACGCGGCTAACGAGCAGCGGACTACGGCTGGTGGGGATACGCGAAGCGTGAACACGAAGTGGCCTACAGTTGGCTCCGGGCATTCAAAATGTCGCCTGGGAATGGTGTTCTGGGAACACGAAGAACACGAAGTGGCCTACAGCTGGCTCCGGGCATTCAAAATGTGGCCTGGGAATGGTGTTCTGGGAATGGATTCCTAAGGATTCCTAAGAATTCCTAAGGATTCCTAAGGATTCCTGGGGCTGACCCTTTTGTCCGGTTTTGTCCGGATCCCGCCCAGACCCCCCATGGGGCGTCAAGATGCTTTCTTTTGACCCCACTAGAAACCTATCAGCCTTCGCTGTTAGGTGATATTGAACGGTTACCAGAAGGGGACCAGCAATAAGCACTATTTAGAACGAAGTTTTAGCGGAAACAACAACAACAACAACAACAACAACAACAACAACAACAACAACAACAACAACAACAACAACAACAACAACAACAACAACAACAACAATTACTAGCACGTGGGGACACTCCGTTCTCACCAGTGCCAGGGTTTTCATAGGAGGCGGGCAATACCCCCACTTTGTGGGGGGGCCGGTTCAAGCTCTACCAAATTTCCAAACGACTCTTCGCCACCACCCACACCCAGCTTCCCGCCCTATGACGTTCGGACACTTCACTTCGTGGCATGCGGACGACCGTGGCTACTATTCAGGGCCCCGCGGCCGACGACGACGGCGTGCGCGCGCGAAGAAAAAACGAATGTGTCCCGCATGGTATTATTTGACAGGGATGATGGCCCTGGCAGGTGCGCAACCGTTGTTGCAGAAGTTCGAAAAAGTGGCTCGCAAAAGCCCGTTTGACAGAAATGATTTAAAAAGTGTTGGGTTTCCTACGAATCCGCAAGAGCGCGCGGGATGAGATTTTGACACTTTTTTTTTGAAAAACCATTGGTTTTTTGATGCTTTTATGTTAAAATCGCTACGAAAACTAAGGTTTTGGAAGGATTTCGTCTTGCGCGCGCGAATGTCCACTTTACCATATTTTTTGCAAGGGATTCTTGAAGTTTGGTTATGTTAGAACAAGAAATGTCCACTTTAGCTTATTTTTTGCAAGGGAAAACCGATCGTAACAACACAACCGGATCTGGATGACATCGTTTTGACTGAGACTTCCTCACGAAAATGATGAAAATGAGGCTGCGGCCTAGGCGCGGCGGGGGGGCCATGCACCAGGGGCCCCAACAATAATTATTCTTTAGAAGTAATAATGTTCAACAACAACAACAACAACAACAACAACAACAACAACAACAACAACAACAACAACAACAACAACAACAACTACAACTACAACTACAACTACAACAACAACAACAACAACAACCATAACAACAGCAACCACAACAACAACCACAACCAGAACCAGAACAACAACAACAACAACAACAACAACAACAACAACAACAACAACAACTATCATTTTAAGACTGTTCGCCCTCATCTGCTCGAGTGTCCAATAACGCCTATTTCCCAAACCCTCGATGCCCGCCCTCTTCGTTTTCGATCGAACCCCTTTTGGGGGGTATACCTTTCTTCCTTGCAGGCCGGGCCCCGGCAAGCGGCGGGGTGGCCGCGGACCGTCGGCCTGGCCAGCGGCAGCGCTGATCGGCGGGGCGGCCGCGGACCGTCGACCCGACCCCAAGAGGGACGGACAGGGGACCGACCACGACGGCGACGACGACGACGACGTCGACGACGACGGCGACGACGATGACGACGGCGACGACGACGACGAGCGAAAGCGAGAGCGAAAGAGAACGACAGCTGCGCCACAAGGACACAAAGCAGGCCACGAAGAGCAACAGCGGGGACACGGAGGGAATGCGTATGGGGCCACGAAGAGCGCGAAGGAGCGGGGGCCACGAAGGGCAGATAATGCGGGGCCACAGAAGGCAACGATGGGGCCACTGAGGGTAGCAACTGGGCCACGTAGGACAGATGCATATGGGGCCACCACGGGCGCGAACGAGCGGGGGCCACGAAGGGCATACATATGCGGGGCCACGACGGGCAGCGAGGGGGCCACGAAGGGATGCAACGGGGCCACGGAGGGCAGCGAGGGGGCCACGAAGGGCTGCAACGGAGCCACGAACGGCTGCGACGGGGCCACGAAGGGTAGCGAGGGGGCCACGAAGGGCTGCAACGGGGCCACGAAACAAAGCGAGGGGGCCACGAAGGACTGCAAGGGGCCACGAAGGGCAGCGAAGAGGCCACGAGGGGCTGCAATGGGGCCACGAAGGGCAGCGAGGGGGCCACGAAGGACTGAAACGGGGCCACGAAAAACAAAGCGAGGGGGCCACGAAGGGTTGCAACGGGGCCACGAAGGGCAGCGAGATCCCGATTCCTATGTAATCTGTGAGGGAGTCCTAAGCGTGAGCGCGACTCCTGGGTGCCTGGGTGTCGGGAGCGCGGCACTTGAGTAAATTGCAAGAAATTCCAACGCAAGGGCGCTATTCTTCAGTAAATTGCAAGCACGTCTCCAGCGAGAACGCGACTCCAGAGCGCCGGGAGAATATTCCAAGGAAGTCCCAAGCGAGAGTGCGATTCCTGAATAAAACGCGAAGAAGTCTCGGGCGGGAGCGGGGGTCCTGGCTAAATTGTAGGGAAATCTTAGGCGGGAGCCGTTGTTGTTGTAAACCGGGGGCCAACGACACAGTTTGACCCTCAAGACTTTCGCTGATATAAAAGATGGTGCGAGCCTGGGGAAGGGCACTTCAATCGGAAAAAAAAAAAACATGTTCTTCAGAAGTGAGAGTTCAACAACAACAACAACAACAACCAAAACCACAACCACAACCACAACCACAACAACAGCAACCACAACCACAACAAAAACAACAACAACAACAACAACAACAACAACAACAACAACAACAACAACAACAGCAGCAGCAGCAACAACAGCAACTACTACTACTACTACTACTACTACTACTACGACTACTACTACTACTACTACTACTACTACTACTACTACTACTACTACTACTACTACTACTACTACTACTACTACTACTACTACTACTACTACTACTACTACTACTACTACTACTACTACTACTACTACTACTACTACTACTACTACTACTACTACTACTACTACTACTACTACTACTACTACTACTACTACTACTACTACTACTACTACTACTACTACTACTACTACTACTACTACTACTACTACTACTACTACTACTACTACTACTACTACTACTACTACTACTACTACTACTACTACTACTACTACTACTACTACTACTACTACTACTACTACTACTACTACTACTACTACTACTACGACTACTACTACTACTACTACTACTACTACTACTACTACTACGACTACTACTACTACTACTACTACTACTACTACTACTACTACTACTACTACTACTACTACTACTGCTACTACTACTACTACTACTACTACTACTACTACTACTTCTACTAATACGACCACTACGGCTACTACCGCTGCTACTACTACTACTACTACTACTACTACTACTACTACTACTACTGCTACTGCTACTGCTACTGTTACTACTACTAGAACTACTGATAATACTACTACTACGACCTACTGCGGCTACTACTACTACTACTACGCCTACCATCGCTACTACTACAACACCAGTACTACTACTACTACTACTACTACCACCTAGTACTACTACTACTACTACTACTACTACTACTACTACTACTACTACGACGACGACGGCTACTACTGCGAATACTAAGACTACTCCTACAACTACTACTGCAACCACTACCACTACCACTACTACCTCCAATACTAGTGAAACTACTACTACTACTACTACTACTAATACTACTACTACTACTACTACGACCACTACCCCTACTACTACTACTACTACTACTAGTACTACTACTACTACTACTGCTAGTACTACTATTACTACTACTACTACTACTACTACTACTACTACTACTACTACTACGACGACTACGACTACTACTACTACTACTACTACTACTACTACTACTAACTACTACTACTCACCACCACCAC